GCTGTGGAGTAGGTGATAGCTTTGTATAATGTTAAATTTAAAAAATTTGAGAACTGTAATGTGGTTATGCAAGAGAATGTCAGTTCTTGGGAAATGGACATGAAGTATTTAAGCATAAGGGGGCATGATGTCCGAAACTTACTGTCAAAATGGTTCAGAATGAAAACACTACAGTTGACCCTCGAACAACATGGGTTTACACTGCGTGGGTCCACTTACACGCTGATTTTTTCCGGTAGTAAATACTGTGGGACTACATGATCTGCGATTGGCTTAATCTACAGATGTGGAGGAACCGCAGATACAGAGGAACTGTATATATGGAGGGCCAACTATAAGAGTTATACACGGGTTTTCAGCTGTGCGGGGGAGGGGGGGCGCCCCAACCCTTTTGTTGTGCAAGGGTCAACTGTTGGGGGAGGGGAGGGAGAAAGGAGAGGGTGCGGAAGGAGCGAGAAACTAAATGGGACAAAATGTAAGCAGTTATTGAATCTGGGTAAAGGGAATATGGGGGTTCTTTGTACTATTCTTGTAACTTTTCTGTGAGTTTGAATTATTTCAAAATGAAAACTGACAGAAGAGCTCAATATTTATCCTGAATATATGTAAAACACAAACACACGCGCACGCACACACACATGCGCACAAGCACGCATATATAGAATTTAAGTCTAAAGTTACTGTACAGAACCTTCTCTGCATATGGAAGCCACTCTCAAACATCGCCAAACATCACACTGTCACACGATATCGCTTGTTACGGCCTGTCTGGCGTGTTGCCACTCCTGTGTTGCCAGATAAGTCCGTGAGATCACAGCAGTCTGAAGCCCAAGGAGCAGTGGAGGATGTGTTTATGGTTCCTACCCTAGTGGCTTTGCTTCTGTGGGAAAGAATGCAGTTCACGTCCTTCCTACACTTAATTTGAAGGCAGAGTCTTTGCAAGTGTGCCCGTGCTCGCCTCTGTATTCATTCCGCCATTAGAGCATTGCAGTTTCAGGGAAATCCCATCGCGGCTCCACAGAACGTGTCCATACATGTCCATTAGTCTTGGGGCTTTCCCCCAAACACACATTCTGCTTGCTGATGCACAACCTGCGCCAGCTTGATGCGTTTTAATTTTTAGCTGAAATAAATCCCTCCCCTCCAGCCTGTGCCCAGTGTGGAAAGGAAAGCCAGATGCCCTCCTCAGAGTGAGACACACACAGTTTTGTGTTAGGTTGAAGCGTTGAAGAGTGCTCAGTTACCTAGCTGAATGCCATCAAAACAGCCAGTCTGGGCGTTTCAAACAAAGGCAGGCTGGGGGAATGGCACGGGGGAATAAATGATTTATTTAAATAGGATGAAAATTAGTCTTCGTATGTGTGGATTTCAAGGGAAGTCTTTCAATGTAGTAGTCCCTTAGGTTGGCACCCCACCCTCAACTTAGTGATTCGTATCAGAGATGCCACACCCATTTAACACCATTCTTAATCACCTTGACCATCTCCTGTTATTTCCAAAGTCACTAGAATAGGCTGTACCTAGTGGACTTTTGTAATTTCTTTGGCCCTCCAGCATCTGGACCTGTTGAGGAACTCCTCTCTGTGACTCTTGGTGGGAAGCAGAGACAGATGGTCTCTCCCTAGAGGTGTTGACGTTGCTCCTCGTTTTCCTAGCCTCCTTTGCAGCTAGGACAGAAGCAGAGCAGGACAGGGGTGAGGGGATCTCCCTCTGGTGGTGCTCATGACTATGTACGAGAGGGGTGTCCCCCTCAGAACCAGTTCTGAGGCATCATTTTAGGCGTGACTTCTATTCTTCAGACGTCTCCTTAGGTCTGGTACCATTAATAATAATAGAAGTGATAAGCAGAGTGTCAACTGCAAACTGGTTAATTCATATACTTGTTATTACTAAAACAGAAAACGAAAAGGCCACTATGACCATTGCTGCATAAAACTACCTCCCGAGCTACAAGTGCTTACCACCTTTGATCCAGAAATCGCCCTTCTAGGAATGTGTCCTACGGATATATTTTTGCACAAGTGAAAGGATGAAATGAGAGATGTGTGGTATTGTTTGTCAGAGCAAAAGAGGAAAACCACCCACATACCCCACCAAAGGGGACCGTTTAAATAATATCCCCCCCCCACCACACACACTGGATTATTGGCTATAAAAAAGCATGAGGAGAGCATTTCATATATTGAAATGAAAAGATCTATTTCAATATAATTAAGGATGGATCTCTTGAGTCCATTCTTAAGTTTAAAAAAAAAAACCCAAGGTATATAACTGAATGCATAGAATGCTAGCTTGAGTAATAAAAGGAAAAAAAGTAGGAACACATGTTTGTAATTGCTTATACAATAATGACACTCTGGAAGGAAACACAAGAAATTATTAATATTTACTCAGAGTGCAGTGAGGATGAGGTGGGAATAGGGTAGTCAGGGTCCTTCTTTTCAGTGTTGGGCTTTCTAGATTTTTAAATTTTTTAACGATATGAAAGTTTTGCCTATGTAAAAAGAAAAAACACAAAGTACTGCAGTCCAGTCAACACTTTTTTGTACCATAACTGCGTGCTTTATTGAGATACACAGTAAAGCAGTAATATAATACAATAGTAAGGCATATATTTGGTGAAGTCTGATATGTTGTGAAAATGCAGTAAAACTGAAGTTTAAAAAAATAATTAGTAAATGTTACAGTGTTGGTGTTAAAACACAATATATTATGATACTCAAGTAAGAACCCAGTACCTGAAAACAATGACATAACATGCCAGGTGATGTTTATGCTTCAGTTACATTGGTTATGATTTACAGTTTAATACTCGGTGGTTATAAAGAACACGAAACAATGTCCAACTTATGCTTAAAACGTAGCAATAAAGCTCTCAGTTTTTATTCAGATATTTTGACAGACTCACTCCAGAACTAATGTCTAAAAGATAAGATAAAACAAAAGATGAAAACAAAATTAAGCCCTCTATTTACCTCTGATTTTAGAATGAAACTTAAACTTCTTAGTAGGAAGTAAAGTAACCCCTTGTTTTAAATCACGGTTAAAAAAAAAATCCTCGGGTAAAGAAAAAGTACAGCGTCACATAAAGGAAAACAATGCAAGACTAAAATCAAATCTTCATGTAATTTGTTACCTTAGAGCTTTGGGTTTTCTTCTGGAAATTATGAACAAAAACGAAAATGGAGGGAAATGTTCTCACAATGGACAGGTGGTGAAGCTGTGAAATCAGGTGTGCACAATTATTAGGAACACCCCAAAACCAAAGTGAGGTAGAAATAGCATGAGAAGCCATGTCTGATGTTAACTATCATTAGTAAAATAAGGAACAAAACCCACTCTCCAAAAGTTAATTACACTTGATGTAAGAGGTAACAGATTTGCAAAATGATAGGTCACACAGTGATTTCTATTGAATGAATGATTAAAAAAAGTGAAAGACTAATAAGATGAAATGAAAGAGTAAAGCTTTTTCCTACCAGTTAGTCCTCTTGAGCGTTCTCCTCTGCTTGAATGATTTATTAATATATTTAACCTGCCTAATCCACCAGAAAGGGTTTGGAGTACCTTTTGCATCCTTTAAATCAATTTGCGTTCCCACTTAACAAACCTGCCTGGAGTTACTTGTAGAGAAATGCCAAGGAGGGAAACATGATTCATGGGCTTCTGGGTGGATACTGAACAGTACCACAATGTGATGGGGCTACTGTGTTACACATTTTCACTAAGGGTTATTTTAAATTAAGTCTTGTGGCATTTACAAACTCATTACAATGGGGAAAAAAAATCTTCAAAAACTGGAGGACCAAGACACCCACTGCTGTTTGACTGTGAGAAAAGAACAGTTGTAATTATAAAGCTCTCTCTGTGAGGTTATGAACATTCATCCAATCCTTTACGTCAAGAGTGGCCTGCTCCCTCTGAGGGATTGGCTGGGAATCCATAGCCCTCCAGCCCTACCATAGTCCTCCTCCTGCCTGGGAGTTAAAAATGCCTTCTGATGCTCTGATTTTCACTGAAGCATCATTAAATTTAAACCGTGGCATTGCCAGCAGCAGGAAGCTGAATACATCAACCAGCGGATGACTCTGACATAATAAGTCCTGTGTATTCATTCATATGTCCCTTAAAAAAATTCAGTACTCTAGTTGTCACTGGAAAGTTTAAAATGAGAAACATCTGGAGCCCCAGATAATGTTTTAGTGTGGTAGTTTCCTTCTGGCTTCAGGCTCCAGGGAAAATTCATTCTAGACCCAAGCAGGTAGGCCTGGATGACCAGAAGCAATTGCTTTCCATTAGGAAGTGGCAAGAACATTTGAACAAGAAATTTAAAAGGTCTCTTGAAATTTATATCTATTTATCTATACACCCATAGTATTTACATACTTATAGACATATAGATGTGTAACACGAAAACCCACAGCCAGTCCCACTCAGTCAACAATTCCAAAAGAGCGATATGAAGTAGTCATTTGGTGGTGTTAGAGGAAGTCCTATCTTAAGTATGCAGGAAAAGAAAAAAAAAAGCCACGAATCTCATATGGATATCACGCCAAAAGGATGCAAAACAATGTGCTGCCTCAGTGTGTGTGTGTGTGTGTGTGTGTGTGTGTGTGTGTGTGTGTGTGTGTTTGTTTTCAGGGGTTTTTATAAACAACTTTTTTTTATAAAGCACACTTTAGTTTACAATCTTTCTTTATAACTGTTATAAATTTTTAAACAACCCAAAATGCGTTCCATATAAAGAAATGGCAAGTTATTTAGCTATCAAGATTTTACATGTAGTTTTCTTATATCTTTTTTGTACAATTGCATAGACGTGTAAAACCTGCCATTGTTAACAAAACAATAACAGACTTAGAAACTACTGAAATCTACAGTATAGTACCACTACCCTTCACAAAAATATAGATTTTTTTTCTTGTAAACTCTTACTGTCTAATCCTCTTTGTTGTATGAATATTATAAAAACCATGCGGGAATCAGGAGTTGTAAAACATTTATTCTGCCCCTTCTTCATCTGTCATGACTGAAACTAAGGACTCCATCGCTCTGCCCAAATCATCTGCCAAGTGGAAAAGGCTTCCTACATTGTGTCCTGGAAAACAAAGAGAAAGACAGACTTGACACAAGGTGTAGTTATCATCACCCCAACTCTTTGTCATTTGGGAAATCATCCCCCGTTTCTAGGTGAAGACAACACAGAAGCTGCGTTGAGGGGATACACAACAGGGTTTGGTTTTTCACCAGTTTTCCAGGAAGAAGCAAAGCCTTGTTAATGAAGCCATTCCACACTGTTAGTATCAGCCTCATATTGGATCAGGCTCCTAGTGTCATATAAATGGAAAAAAGTCAGACTGCACTCATCTTCCCCGTGTAAATATATATCAAGAGGCTTCCACGGATAAGGACAAGATTCCTGTCATAACAGGAACAATTCGTGATGGGATGTGTCTTTTCCACCTTTGCTGTGGGAGATTATTTACTATGTACTTGTATGAAAAATTATTTTACTGTCAAACAACCATCACCATAACTACCACCACCGCCGCCGCCACTCTCCTCCATCATCGCTACCATCGCTACCAACCATCGCTACCATCGCTACCAACCATCGCTACCATCATCGCTACCATCGCTACCAACCATCGCTACCAACCATCGCTACCATCGCTACCAACCATCGCTACCATCGCTACCATCATCGCTACCATCGCTACCATCATCGCTACCATCGCTACCATCGCTACCATCATCGCTACCAACCATCGCTACCAACCATCGCTACCATCGCTACGTGTGAAATCTTCGTCTCAAGGCTGTTACAAGCTGTTGGCTCACGTCTAAGGCTATGGCGGAGGTGACTGTTTTCTCTCTGCTTTTACTTGAGTTGAAAGATAAACTCTTGAATTGACCTTAGTATACACTATTAACATTTGAATTAGGAAGCTTCAGGAAAAAAAAAATTACTTTTCATTCCAGATTACTCAAGAGCCTCATTGTAAGATGACCCACATGTATAGCATGGATTTGGGTAGCCTCTGAATCCATTTTTGATCTCCTACTCAATGAGGGTTAACTGTGAGAATAGCCTTCTAATAATAATATGACATGACGTATCATTAATCCCCCAGCATGGAGCATAAAGGCAGCACAATGTCCCTGGGTACTTTGTGGCAAAATTCAGATCTAGAGTAAGATAACTTGAGACATACTTTATGACTTGCCTCGTCATGTATGTCCCATATTTTTATATGGCTAATTTTAATTCTTGGACATTAGGAAATCATTCCACTATTTAAGTACTGCTTTTGAAACTAAAAATGCTTTACTAGGCTATTACTACCTTGCCATGTGTCAACTTTACAGATTCCCATAATAATTGTTAAAATCCCTATAAACATTAAAGATAGACTAGGGCAGGTATTCTATTCTAACATTTACTTCAAGAGACATATCGTTTTAAAATATATGAGCGGATCTGAAGAGGACTCATAGGCAGGCACTTAAACAGCGATGGCACCAGATCGAGTTAAGACTTAACTTTTATGCTGTTCAGCCATTTTTATTAAGGTGACCAAGTTTGTAACTCTCTTTGAGCTTTATTAGTGCAGAAAGTTTCAGTGAGGACTAATTATGCTTTAAAAAATCACTCTGGATTTTGGTTGGGGCTGCACACATAAAACCTTTTAACAAAGCATATGTCCTATGCCTAGAGTGGGCCAGTAGTTTGGCAGCCCTCAGTGAAGAACAGAAATCATCTTTGGCTTTTCTAAACCATAAAAACCACAGGAAGCCATAGTGGGTCCTTTGCTACTCCTCAGAGCACAAATATCTAACTGATGCCACCAAGTTAGAGGGCTTCCCTTGTATCTACTTTGGACTGCCCAGCAACCCTGGGAAATCTGTACAATTATTCCTGTGTAATTGAAAACAGATGGACTAACTGCAAATTTTAAATTGCTTGCAATCTTAACAGCAATTAATAAAACCAGTAAAAACAAACCCCGAGACTCTTACAACGTGATACCTAGATATAATTCCAACTATTTCTCACATCTATACTATAGTATAGTCCTCCTGGTAGCTAGAAAATGTATTACAAAACATAAAACAGGGAAGAAATCATTTTTTTTCTCCATCAGCTTATTGACAATAATCAACGAGTGCCTATTTTAGACTGTGCTAGGAGATGCAGACTGCAGTTCAAAAGATAATGAAGACAAGTAAATGCATTTATAGATTATATAGCCAAGTGGTGCTTTCCTACTCCTCAAAGTGGTGTTCGGTTACTAACTGGAAGGAAAATTCGTGAGTCTCTTAAGAGGCATAAGTTCTAGGGGTATCTGCTGTTTTAAAAGTTACCAGGTCAGAGGTTTGTGGTTTTTTTTTAAAATTAATTAATTAATTAATTTTTGGCTACGTTGGGTCTTCGTTGCTGCACGCGGGCTTTCTCTAGCTGCGGAGAGCGGGGGCTACTCTTCGTTGAGGTGCGCGGGCTTCTCATTGCAGGGGCTTCTCTTGTTGCGGAGCACGGGCTCTAGGGATGTGGGCTTCAGTAGTTGCAGCATGCGGCCTCAGTAGTTGTGGCGCACGGGCTTAGTTGCTCCGCAGCCTGTGGGATCTTCCCGGACCAGGGCTCGAACCCGTGTCCCCTGCATATTGGCAGGCGGATTCTTAACCACTGCGCCACTAGGGAAGTCCCAGGTTCATGATTCTTAATACACCATACCTACTCCCACAAAATGTTAGGTAGCCTTTAACCTGTCCAGGTGGTTAAATGTTCACAGTTGACCTCACGGCCATCCCTATGCTAGAAAAATGAACGTTCTGAGTCACCCCACCATATCTATATGATGCCTTTCATTACGTTGTTTACAAATACCTGCTTCATCAGAATAACAATTCCAGTGTTTTCCATGGAGGTTTTCCTTAGAGCCAGAAAAAAAAAAAATTCTCTCTCTTTGACTAAATACTGCCCCAAAGAATCATATACCTCAACCCGCTGGAGGCACAGAACCACACACAGATAGGGAATTGGGACACAGAAAACAGATTTGTATCCTGCTTCTGTTATCCGTGCGTGTAAGGCAGAACATTAGTGAGATCATTAATTTTACCTGACAGATTTTTCTAAAGTCAAAATGAAAATCTTGTGCTATGAGCACGAGAGGCCCTGGAAAACAGGCAGGATGCAGGCATCTGCGATTAGCTTCAGGCACAAGTAGACATAAAAATACGTCTATAGACGTACTTAATACGTTCTTAAGCAAGGACTGTTGAAGAGAAAGGCACTGTGCGTTTAACATTAGGGTAGTTGTATGTTTTTCCAAGTTGGTGCAAAGTGCGACATGTGGACTCTCACATGCCACCTCTGCCTCAGGGAGTTGTTCGCTGCAGTGATTGGAATTGAGACTTTCTGGCAGAGACCCAAGACCTCAATAGCAATCTGGCGCTCTGTTTTTTTTTTTTTTAAAAAAAAAATACCGTTCCCAAAGAAATGTTGAGCACTCAGTTGGCCAAAGCGAAGCCAGAATACCGCAGTGAAATGTGCTTATCTTTGCTTCTCTGTAATTTAATCTTTGAAAAAATATCTGGTCTACTGTACATCTGGAGTATTTTCTTAGCATTGAAAAAAATCACTATTGTTTTGATTCTCTGGCTTTCTGAAAACTAATCTGACTACAATATACCTCAGGTAGTATAGTTTCCAAATGCCTGCGTGACTTCAATTATATGTGCTGGCCTTTTCTAAAATTCGTTTATGAGAGACACATGTTTAGGGTGGTTAAAAATATGGTGCAACTTTTTCCCACAAGTTAAAATAAATTTTAAGGGGCACTTACCATCAGAATGAACCCAAGATGTCTCACATAAGAAGGCAAAGCGTCAGGATCATTCAGTGCTTCACCGATTCAGGTTTCCTGTTTCTCCTCCCAGCCCACTGCTCCCTCCCTTGGACCCCACAAGCCTTGGAAGGGAGCAATGGTGTAGACACACTGAAGGATCGTTCAGTTGATTAGACCTGCATGGCATGGCACTGGCAGAATTTCCAGTATGATGTTTAAATGAATCAGTGGCTACTCCTGTCCATCTGTTGCTAAGGATCCGGAACCTTCTCATATAAGGACTCCCCACCCGTCCAACCTGTCTCCCACTAATAGTACACGCTATTGCCATCCGTGGGAGAGCGTTCCTTCTTGCGTCCTTCACACTAAACTCTTGGTAAGGACAGTCTTGTTTCACTTGGGCTGTCACTCAACACTTTGTCATCCGATGTCATTTCATTAGGTAATTCAATGTTTAGCTAATATTTCTGGTAGAACAGAAGTGTGAAGCAGCTTTTACTGTAAAACCCCAGACCACATTCAGTGATAACGCTGTACCCTACCTATAAAAGGCATTAAAAAAAATCCCTCACGACTCCAAGATTCACTTTTTATCCCTAATTGGTTATTGTTCTATCTGGCTCAAAATGCCAAGTAAAGAAAAGCAGCATCCTCTGAAGGGCAAGTTGAGATGACATATGCTTTTCACACACCCTTTTCTAAGTGGCAGTAAAGCACACAGTTAAGAGTGTGGCTCTGGACCCAGACTGCCTGGCTTCAAATCCTGGCTCTGTCACCTTGGACACATTGCTCACCCTTTCGTTGACTCAGTTTCCTTATCTGTAAAATGGGGTTAATAAGAGTACCTACCTCATAGGCTTGTCCTGAAGATTACATAATGAAAAGGATGGCAAGTGCTTAGAAAAGTCCTTGGCACACAGTAAGTGCTCAAAAAAAATGTTAGCTGAAGTGGGAAAGAAAGATTGTAGGCACCAGGAAAAAGAAAACAAAAACAAAATGAAGTCATCCCTGAAGAATAAAAACCAAGGGCACTGGAAGAAAATGCTAGGGTCCTGGAAGTAGAAGGAAGCTTTATGACTCATCAGTTATGTTCGAGGCTAAATGTATTTTGAAGATTTTGTTTGTGTTGCAAATGGCAACAGATGATGAACTTCAGGATTCCAACCTAGGGACTACAAAGGGTTGCCATTTAAAAGAGATTCCTGTTCCCCCAACCCCTGGCCCTGTTGTCATGGTGATGACAATGACA